TAAACGGAAAGAATGGAACTTTTATTTGAAATAGAACTATTTTGTAACATTACAAAGGTATTTACTGTCACTTTTGATGAGACATACATATTTTGTAACATTACAAATGTATTTACTGTCACTTTTGATGAGACATACATATTTTGTAACATTACAAATGTATTTACTGTCACTTTTGATGAGACATACATATTTTGTAACATTACAAAGGTATTTGTTGTCACTTTCGATCAATTGAATGCATCCTTGCTGAATAAAACTCATTTTAAACAATTGTAACTGACGCGAAACTTTTGAACAGTAGTGTACATATGAAGAGTTCAGATGCAAAAGCCTCTAAGTGTTATTTGAAATTTTCTTCTAAAATGATCATTTTTATCAAGCTTGTATATTTAAGTTCAGTAATTTCACTTAAATGGCAATAAAGATTACCTATTAATTGACATATAAGTGAAATTACTGAACTTAAATATACAAGTTCGACAAAAATCATCATTAAAGAAGAAAATTTCAAATGGCATTTAGAGGCTTTTGCATCTGAACTCTTCATATGTGACCAGGTTTAAATGAATTTCCCCAAAATCAGCACAGAAATGAAAACGACGTCTCTGACTCACATTGCCAGCTTTGGAGATCTTGAGGTCTATGGAGGGAGCGGGTTTCCTCTCTTTCCTCCTCTGCAGGTAGTCCAGGAGTCGGAGCTGTGGCAGTGTGGGGCAGTGGCTCATCATCTCCTGCTGTCTGTTCAGAGCTGCTCGTGAATGCCTCCTAAAACACCTGCGGAGGGGAGAAACATGACTACCGTTAGCATGGAATGATGCATTATAAACATAAGTTTTGAACAGTATTGTATGGAAAAAGCAGAACGCATTTGAATGAAAAGCGGCGTCACCGTTTCATGGATCGTGTGTTCATCTTCTGTTTGTTGTAGAGCAGACGGTTGGTAGTGCAGCTGACGGAGATGGAAGGGTCCAGACACAGAGGCTCCGCTGTGGCCAGAATCAACTGACTCTCCAGCTGAAGTTTATCATCCTATAAACACATTCAAAACACGTGAGAACCGATGCCGAAGCTGTGAATCGGTCACTTTTAATGCTCTGTGCAGTCGCATCACCTGCGTCCACTTGTGGTGATCACTTGTCATAGCATGAACGTCACAGATCAGGGTCTGGTGAGGAGAAGAGACACAGCTTGAGAAAAATACTCACCTCGGGTTTCTCAGAGACTGCTGGTCATGGATCAGGACTGTTACTGACCTGCATAGTGGGTCTCAGCAGGATGTGCCGGCTCTGGTAGGTCGGCATCTTTGCATTTCCAGACTGTCTGTAGTCCCTGACCTCAGCGATGACACAGCCACAGTGAAATATGTTCACCTGACAGGACAAACGCGGAAAAACAAAACTAAGGCACTGGTTTATGCATCATGTAATAAAAAAACTAATGTAGGTTAATGAAATTAAAATTACACATTGAATCAATTCTGCACCAGTGCTATTTTAGAATTATTTATATGCTGTAATAGTATATATTTTTAATTTGCTTTAATTTTTATATTTTCAGTGCTTTTAATTTTTAGATTTATGTGCTTTTTGTCATTTTTGATTAGTTTTTGGACTTTCTTAATATTTTAAGCTTTAACTTATTTTTATGCAATTATATTTCTTCAACTGAAACATTTTAATTTAGTTCACACAATATTTATATTTTACATTATTTCAGTTTTATTCTAATTAAGAAAAATTATTTAATAATAGTTTTAATTAACAATAACAACACTTAAATATTTTATTATTTAAATATTTTTAAATAATAAAAAATAAAAAAGGTCAGGGCAGATTTTTCAAGTGCATAAAATGATATATGTAATAAAAAACTTATGTAGGTTAATGAAATTAAAATTACACATTGAATCAATTTTGCACCAGTGTTATTTTAGAACTATTTATATACTGTAATAGTATTTATATCTATTTTTTCCAGTTATGATTTTATTTTAACTTTAAGATTTATGTGCTTTTGTCATTTTTTATTAGTTTTTGGACTTATTTTTATGCAATTATAGTTCTTCAACTGAAACATTTCAGTTTAGTTTAGTTAACACAATATTTATATTTTACATTATTTCAGCTTTATTCTAATTAAGAAAAAATATTTAATTATAGTTTTAGTTAACAATAACAACACTGTTCTGAACTTTATATAGGGCCGGTAATGTTAATGGTAAATTAAATATAAATATTTTTAAATAATAAAAAAAAAAGTCTGAGTGCATAAAATGAAATGGAAAAATACATGAATAAATTACACATTAAAAAAATAGTTCAGTGATGCTACTAACCTGTGATTTTTCTAGAAGGTCTACAAGGATGGGCGGCAGCTCCTCGGCATCCAGGTACTCCAGTAACTCTCCTTCTTCATAACGAAGTCGGATTGTTTCCGAATCTTATAGGTTGGGATAAAAACATCAGCTTGACAAGACTTTATTAACAAGCAGCATGATGAGCTAAGCATAATACACACATAAAAAGCAGACAGTACCAGATCCATTCTTTCCTCTGAGCATAAGCGAATATCCTTCATTGGCAGGGTACAGGTTGACCACCAGACATGAGACGGACTCCTGTGAGACCAGTTTCTCAAGTAGATTCACATTTCTCCTCAGTTTCTACAGAAAGAGGGCAGTAAGGACTTTGTTATTTATATATATACACGTCACATATTTGTACACACACATATTCAATCCATAACATCATTCCACGCTTTTCACTATTATATTCCATCGACACGATAAAAAAGTATAAAATCACACCATAGTTTTCTCATTGAGTATCTGGCATCACTAAGCAAAAAGGGCTGCGAATGCCACTTCATTAAAATGCTGGTCTTGAAGTTAGTGCAAAACATAAATGTGTTTGTGTGTTATAGCGGGTGAAGATTACCTTCAACTCTGGTTCTTTTTCACACTCTTCAATGTACAATTCATAAAGTTTCTGATATAAGGATTTCCTTCCACTCGAGGACGATCGTCTCTTTGCTGGTCGCTGACGAGCACTTTCAACAATGTACTAAACAAGACATAATGTCAGAGTAGAAGAATACATTATTGCCATATGAACAGATATTATGGATACAAAATAAACACCAAATTGTACAGTATAAAACAACACAGAAATAAGTATACCTCAGCCCGATCCAATGCATATTCTAGGACTTGTTGCTGCGGAAGAAGGACATTAGAGGCAGGGCAAATCTCTCATATTGTCCAAACAAATCAGTGAAAATGTCAAATATTATCAAATCAATGCCATAACGTTAAATAAAACCCAATTCCGTATTTATACATCATTAAACCAAATCTGAAAGTCTTACCATTGTGGTTGTTGTGTGACAGGAGGCGATGCTGTGTTACACCAACACTGTCACCTCCACAAACACACCATTCAAACCCTGATATCAGAGAGAGACAGTTCAGAAACACACTCCCCGCGTGCATTTATCTGTCAGCTGACAGTTGCCATCAAGAACTTAACCCCAGACATGCAATGACAAGTGTATGAATGCGAATAAACAAAGTATGAGACATGAACTCAGCTCATTAAGACAGTTATGCATCTGTGTGTATATGTGCAGTCACAACATCTGGTAAACAAATGTGGTGAAATTCAAAAGGATGATGACAAAGTATGTGTTAAAGGATGCAATGGCAATAAATATCATTCATTCATGAAATTCAGAGGAATATTATGCCAGAAGAAGAAGACAAACTTCAGCACAGGAGCTCCAGCAAACGACAGACTGGCTAACCACAGCTAACAGCTCACTTAAAATGCACAAACTCACACAACACGACCACCTGACAGAGTGGGGCATAACGTGACAATGGCGACAAACATTGAAACTGACTTGCCAATCGAGTTGCATCACCACAGGTAGGAAATCCAAAGCAAGAAGCGGGATAAATGTTCCAGTGCCTTCAATGAAAAAAACTCACAGCAGCCATTTTGTTCCAGTGTAACAACAAAATCCAAACTTCCGGTGTGCGCGCGTGTTGAAGGCGGAACCAAAGAGCAGCGCGGAACCGCTCAAAAAGGCACAACAAAAAAGCATTTCTGTTCACGATATCAAAAAATCACTCTGGTAAACAAACAGAGTTCTCCCCGAAATACCAAAATTACAGATGTTGTTTCTACATTAAAACGGCGGTAACTTGGTCAAGCCGCCCATGTCATCAAAAAATAGAGAAATGGCAAACAAAATGACACAAACATGCTCAGTGATCAGTAATAAATTATGGGGTAAAAAAAAAAACAAATGAAAAAATACAGAGCTAGGTCTTTAATCATATTTAAAAAATCAGCAAATATTTAAATTATCTAAATAATACATCATTATGTTATTAAAGGGTTAAGTTAGTTCACCTAAAAATGAAAATTCTGTTATCACTTACTCACCCTCATTTTGTTCCAAACCTGTGAGTTGAACACAAAAGAAGATATTTTAAAGAAGGATGGTAATCAAACAGTTGAAGGTAGACAAACTGACAACCAAAACCAAAAATATAAATATATTGTGTGTTCAACAGAAGAAAGAAACTCATACAGGTTTGGAACAAAATGAGGGGGTAGTAAGTGATATCAGAATATTTATTTTTGGGTAAAATATCCCTTTAATGGGGTATCCAAAAGAAGAGAATAAATGAAACTTGGCCAGAAATTGACTAGAAACGCATTGTAGGCAATGTTTAATGTTCAAACTATGTATGCGTGTAAATATAATGTCAGTTCAAATCGAAAGATGTTTATCAATGTATACATATTTTGTCGTTCAAGCAATAATCATCTGGTTGTGTTCAACACAATATTTCAAGAATATTTTTTTTTTCAGGAAACCATTTGAATTTACTTCACTATTTGCTTCAAGACCAGGTATCGGATAGTCCAGGGCACAACCATATCAGCTGCTGGTGAACCTAGTGAATGAAAGGCAAATATTCACACAGGTTTAGGAAAAATATTTTTATTATTATATTCATTCCCTTAAAGAAAATGTACACATCACTCCAAACAAAAGCATCCAGAAATCGTCCACACTGATGGGAAGATCCACACTAACAAAACAGTATTGCATAAACCACTTTAAAATGTCACATAACACAGACCACTGGAAAAAAAAGCAAAATAATAGCACAATAATGAATGAAGAGAAAAAGAACAACATAAGTTTAACATATGGCCTACATATGCAACACACTCAAGACAAACATGAATCTCATCCAGCTCACGTAGTTCATTCAGTATCTCCACAGCACACAACGATTTGGACAGTGTGCTTCATTTCATTTGATCCTGTGACAAATCACAGAGTGAATCATAAAAGAAAGCTTTTATACTGCATAAAACCAAAGCTGACACTTCAGACACATATTGCTTCTTTCCCACAACTCATCCATAATAACTCACAGCTATAATTTGCTGACTTTACCTTTCAGAGCATAACCAGAATGATGGATAACTCACTCATAGAAACTAAAATATTCTTAGAAACCCCCAGAGGGGTCAGTCGAATGTGCATCTCTCTCTTATAAAGAGAACGGATAATTCAAAATACCTAGCTGATTTCTTAAAACAATGTCGAGATTTACATTTTTTTTTAAAGATTCTAGAGATAATAGACTTCATTGAACAATAATAATAGACACAGAACCATGCACACACTTCAGGGCAGCAAGTGGACAGGATTCTCTGAATGGCCACCAGATGGCGACACAATCTGATTAAAATCAAGGCAGACTGTACTTTCACTTTAAATGTAAGAAACTATGCTATAATACCACAAGAAAACAACCTCTAAACACTACGGAAAAGAAAACCACTTAAAAAAAAAACAAACCTCAAATTTGGTTTTAAATATTTGTAGCAAGCAAATAATTGTCATAAAATAAATACTGAAATGGTTACCTTGAGGTAACAAAGGCTTTGGTTAAGCATTCGTACAGTTCCAATATTAATCCAAACACTAAATCCAAGTTAGGCCTGTGCTTAACGTGTGAACTAACCATTCCAGCTGAAACGCTCATGTCCAAACTCCCATGAAATGTTGTGATGCACCAATTTGAAGAGCACGGCTTTAAGAGTGCAATAAAATAAATGTAAACTTCCTCTAAAGCGTTTATGCAGGAGAAATAAAGAGTAACAGAACAACCATAGTCATTAACAAGTTCCACTGCAATGAGCATAGGGAGGAAAAAACTGTTAACTAAGCAACAGTTACCACAGCAACACCACAACCAATCAGCGAGCCCGAATGTGCAGGAGGAACATTGTCAGACTGATCCAAGTCTATTAACCACCCATGATCAAGTGTAGAGAGTAAACAGTGATATGAGGAGGAAAAAGCAACATATGAAAATGAAAAGAGTCTTTCTAAGGTTTTAAAAACACCTCATTCTGCATAGAAACACTTTGAACAGGCCTTCGCTTCTTAAAGTCCTGCTGAAGATTCAAACTCATTAAAACTCATTAATGAGTTTGGACTTCAAACTCATTAGCACAGTGTGTGCGTTTCCGGTCCGTTTGAGCTTTGAGCTTCCGCAAGAGTCTGCTTGGAGCTGCGGTTTCTTTTTGGTCTTTGGGGGACTCAGTTAGTTGTCCCAAAAAAGGTCTCATTCCACTGGGTTGTTGCTAGCTTTGACCCCGGCTCGCCCGATCTGGAGCCACGGCAGCTTGGCACAGTTTTTGAAGAGCTGCTCTATGGCTATGTGCCGTACATGAAGCTCTGATGAAAGAGAGTCCTTCTCCTGCACAGCTACAGAGAGCTCCTCAAACACATCTGAGGGACAAACAAAGAGTGTGTATTAGGTCAAGAATAATGCTAACCTACAGAAACGACTTGAAATATACATAAGCAGGGCTCAATAATAAGGATAGCCAGCTAGCCAGAGTGCAGAACTGTCTCTTACTATTTTTATATTTAAGTTTTTGCTTTAAGGCAAACCACGTTCAAATTCACCAGTCAACACCATTGCTTGAATAACTACAAAAATTGCAGAATTTAATTCTATTATTGCAAATTATCTTTGTAGAAAGAAAAATTTTAAAAGTAACATTTAATCTTTTTGTTAATTTATAGGAAATAAATAAATAAATAAATAAATAATATACGTACATATATATATATTTATATATAATAATATAAACAAATATATATATATATATATATATAGGCCTATTGGGGCTGTGCAAAGATTAATTGCTATTAATCACATCCAAAATAAAAGTTTGTGTTTAGATAATATATTTGTGAGTATATTCATAAAATATTTATATTTATTTATAATATAGATCAGTCATTCCCAAAGTCGGGGTCCCGACCCACACGTGGGTCGCGGGAGATTTTGTCTGGGTCGCCAAGTCGAGCACTATTTTTCAGTGTGTTGTAGGCTACTCTCTAGATATGGGCTATTCAATTGGCGGCCCGCGGGCCAAGTGCGGCCCGCCAATCATCTCCATACGGCCGAGGGCACCCCAACCTCCCTCTCCTCCTATTTTCTGGTGGTGCCGCGCGGCTAAATTTGGTTAGATATGCGCGTGGACGCAGTGGCGCGTGCAGCTGGATGACTATACGCACGCACTGTGTGTGTACCATGAGCACTCCGACTGACCTGAGAGAAAAGTTTACAGTCCGAATATTTCAGCAGTTTTTATGCGTGTCCCGTATTTCTGTCGACTGAACCAGCGATAATAATCATTCGTTGGTTTGATTATTTCCTTTCCATGAATTGGCCATTGGCCAAACGCGCGTGCATAACGGTCTGAAACGATTCGGATTTTTTTCACCTGAAGCGGTTTCTCGGTAAGTAACAACAAATAGAGAACAAAATAGCGCTGGTTTCAGTCGTTTCACTAGTTTACTTTGAACTAGGCAGCACGGCCCAGTGGATAACGGAACGCAAAGCTTAAAGGAGTTGCGTTTACTCCCGGTCCCGGACACTATTACTAAACAACGTTGCGCGACATCCTTTAAGAAGCGTCGGACACGTACTCCTCTCTCTTACAAACCACACATCACTCAATGATTTTAACTAGTTTTAAATCGGATGAAACAGTCTTAACATTCCCAACATTACTGATGAGAAAAATAGAAGAAACATGAATAAAGTTAGAAGACTAAATGCCCTAATCACCACCCTTACAAACATTTACCATGTAATAGCCTGAATGTAATAATTTACCATGGTTTGGGCATAAATGTGGAATATTTATATTGAATGCTATGTTATAGTCATTTATATTGCCTTAGATTTATTAGGGGGGTAGAGGAATTTGTATTTAATCGTGTGTGTAGTTTTTTTTTTTTTTTGTGCCTGTTAGGCATTTTTATGCAGTGGTAGTGAGCCATGCATGGTTACAAAGTCTCAGTGTCAGAATATTTTAATTTAAGCCTATAATAATTATTATAGTAAATTATGTACACTGTAACTATGAGAATATGAAAACAATGATGCCCTGTCAACTTTTCCTTTCTCATTTCACCTCTGCATATTGTCAACAACAGGTTAAACAAAAAAAGTGCTTTGTCAAATATCTGTATCTCTTTTAAATAGTTAACTGGAAGCTTAAAAATTGACCTTAAAAAATGGTCATACATATTTTGTTAATGCATAAATTCTCTTCGTGATATATGAACTATATGGGCCTAATGTTTTTTGGGTCACAAGGATTTATCGACTTTAAAATGTGGGTCGCCAGAAAAAAAGTTTGGGAAACACTGATATAGATTATGTATTTATACAGTATTTACATGCAAATAATTCTTAAATATATACATGCATGCATATGTATTTATATATATATTAAATAATTATACACAGCACACACACACACATATTTTATGTAAACAAACTTTTATTTTGAATGCGATTAATCGCAATTAATTTTTGCACAGCCCTTATATAAATATATATTGAAAATATAAAATAAGTAAAATAAAGTAAATAAAAAAAGAAAAGAAAATAGTGACGATGAAAATGTAAAAAAAAAAAAAAATGGTTTTAATGAAATGTGAAAGTAAATAATGACCTGTTAAAGTCAATAAACAACCACATAAATTGACATGTAAGTGTTGGGTCTAGATTAACTGTTGGCAGGTTCAGTGTAAACTGGGCGAGAGGAAAGCTATACTATTGAGTCTTAACAAGAACAATAAATTATCTATCACATCATTTTTTGTCGTGACATACCATATTTTGCAAAGGGATAATACATTTTTTTATTTTATTTACTACTAATATCGAGTCACTCTTCCATTCAGTATGCGTTTAGGTTAAATGGAGTAGTTCACCCCAAAAATGAAAACGGTCATATTTTTCTTATTTGGGTGAGCTCTGGGTTTTAAGATCAAACTCACTTTGTATCTGTAACAGCATCTGCTCGTTCAGCTGGTGAAGCTCCTCCACACTCATCATCACCACTGAAACACAAACACAAACAATACGTTTTCAAAAAAATGTACACTGACACTGATCTCCTTTCACAGCTGAAGGCAGATGACTATAACAGTCCTTGAGAGTTAGTCTAATCAGATGTGCGGCTCTGAAAAGCATGTGCTGTGACCCTGATGACATATCTGTTTTTAACTGAAGCCATTTCTTTGGCTGAGATAAAAGGAGACGAACGGAGAGAGAAATCAAGGTCTAGATTGTGACCTCTCCCCTTTATTGGTGTTTTGTGGACTGTATTGACGGGAAAGAAACAGAGATACAAAGCGTCAGATAAAAGCCTAATGGTGAGGATATCGATTTCTCTCCTTCACTTTGTCGGAGACGTTACTGAGAGAATTTAAGTGAGCCCAAAACCATTCAATATGTTGCTTGATTTTGTAATGCCAACAAAGCCATAACAAATGCACTATTATTTGATCAAAAATACAGTAAAACAGTAATATTATGAAATGATATTACAGTTTAAAGCAGTGGTCTTAAACTCGCGGCCTGTGATTATTTTGTGGCCCCCTACTTGACATTAAAGTTTAATGTTAGTCCGGCCCGTTTTTTGATTTGTTTTTATTCCTTATGGGCTACAATAGATAGTCTCATGACAGCTTACGGTGGGTTTGTTGTCAATAGTTGTCAATCATAGACAATCGCGAAGTACAAACATACTACACCTGGAAAAAATGAGCATGTCGCTTCAATTATGATTTAAAATAACGAACTTGAGTGCGCAAAATATGTGAGCACGATATGTGAACGGCCACGACAACTGGTAGCTCGCGAGCGACGTGTTGGAGAGCCCTGGTCTAAAAAAATGTGAGGATAATCATTTTGAGCTTGTAATATGCGTCCAGCAGGTTGATGAGAAGGTTTGCTTTGATTTTGCAAGATGTAAACAACACTGGTCCAGAAACACTTCCTGTTTCAGTTTGTAACCGTTTTCTTTATTTCACATGTAAAGAAAACATCTTAATTATGTTTATTTAACTTTTTGATTCAGTTTTATATGTTCTGTTGGTTGTATTTTATCCCACCTTTTATGTAGTGTTAAAAAACTGAAACAGGAAGTGCTTCTGGACCAGTGTTGTTTACATCTTGCAAAATGGTCTATACATGTGTAGAAAGAATTCAATAAGATGGGCAGACATGACTGCAAATATTTGTGTTTCAAAAGCAATACTTGTTTTTCTAAGTATAATAAAAGGAAATGTGCCTTCCAAAAAAAACAAACATTCAATATCATATTTATGTGTTGTATAAGGAAAATAAAAAGGACATGAGCAAATATAAGCATCACAAAGATGTTGTGTATAAGGAAAAGACAAAGAAAGTTTGTAAAATGAACTTCAACTGTCAGCTCATGAAGAACCAATCATGTACTGACCCAGTTGAGTTGAGTTTGAGACCCCTGGTTTAAAGTAACTTTTTTATTTGAATACATTTTCAAATGTAATTTATTCCTTTGATGGAAAAGCTGTATTTTCAGCATTATTACTCCAGTCCTCAGAGGCATTTTCACATAAATGTTAAAAACAATCGTGCTTCTTAATATTTTTGTCGCAACCGTGATAATTTTTTAAGGATTCAAACGGCATTTATATGAAATGGAAATGTTCTGCAACATCTTTGAATAATACACGCTGGGTTGTTTCAACCCAAATGTTGGGTCAAATATGGACAAACCCAAATGTTGGGTTGAAATGCAATTAAAAATGTACAGTTGAAAGTGAAAGTTGACTCTTTTAACCCAACATTTGGGTTTGTCCATAATTTACCCAAATTTGGGTTCAAACAACCCAGCATCGTTTAGAGTGGCGTATACTCACGTTCTTCTCGGCTGTGTCCTTTGTGTCTGCTCTGCTCTCGGTTCTGCTGTTCTCCAGCCCATAATCCTTGGCGTGGTCCCTGCAGCAGGTCGAGGCCGAGCTCCTCTGCGGAGTGGCAGTCCAGCATGGATTTCCCATACTCCGAAACTGCCATTGACGCCTCATCCGCCCATCGCGGTGCATAGCGGGGAACTTGAGCATCCGACTGAGGCACGAGCTTCCTACCGCCCTGCTGGGAGTGACACAGAATCTGTTTGGCCCCCCAGCGCCCGGGTGTCTCTGCGGTTAAGGGGTCTCTGTTCTGGGTGTACTGTATAATGCGGTTGATCCGCTGGCTGAGGGCCCGTTTCACGCCCTCGTATGCGCTGTGAGAGGCCTTGGCACGGGAGAGCTTCTGGTTGGCGATGAGATGGTACTTTTCGAAGCAGTCCCTATGCCCACGTAGAGACTTGGAGTGCAGCAGGGTGGCGCTGGATATACCTAGTATAAAACACGAAGGAGGACACACTTAGATATTTGCAATCCACTGCTTGTCAAGCATATACAAATGCTTATCGGGTGTATATGATGGGCCTATCTAAATATAGTCACATTACAACAACTGTGCCCATTTTGCTAGATTAAAAGAGGTACACATCTTAACGACCTTCAAACACTGTAAAACTCAAGCTTGAAACAGATGCATCTATACATCTCTGAGCAAATCAGCACCTGGAAACATCACTTCCTGTTTTGGGTCCTTGATAAGCAGAGTTAAAACACTTCTGCTTAAAACTTAAAGTAGGCCAAGAACAAGTAAAACACAGAGGCACAGAACGAGTGCGTTAGGATGTGCCATTTGTGTCAGGAATTAGTTTTGTTCAAACATGTTTTGAGTTGTAATCATGTCAGCAGAGACTGTTGTGGGATTCACAAAGACAGAAACACACTCATTTGCTTTTAAAAAGAAAAGCTGAAAAGTCTGCCATTATTTAGGCTACTCTCTCTTTATGTTTTCCAAATAACTTTCTTTCTTTTGTGGAACATGACAAAAGCCCAATGGCCAGGCTCCAAAAAAACTCATCTCATTTGTAGAATTGTTCTAGTATTTATTTGAGCTATTGCTTGCAATTTACTTATTTATTCTTATTTTATTACTGACTGTTTACTGGTCTTTAATTATGTTTGAACATACTAGTCATAGGTTATTATTTTTTTTGTTATGGTTTTCGATTCAAGTTTTCGGTTTGGATTCAAGATTTGTGAATGCCAATGGTGGCTTAAAATTTCAATGACAACTGTAAATTTTTCCACTGAAAACCTAATAATCTGCCCTATCTATACGTCTTATTCATAAACAAAATGATTCTGATGAGTCAGATCTTTTCAGTGAATCATTTGATCTAGTTTACATGGATCTGGCTCTATAATTCACCTTACTGACTTCATCCAATCCGGGACGATTTCGATTTCTTTTTTAGGAAAAAAAGGTCAAGTGTAGTCCACGGACTTTTACTGTGTGGACAAAAACAGTAGAAACACTCTCTAAATTATCATCTTTTGTGTTCCCAAGAAACTGAGGGTGAGTGAATGACCGAATTTTCATTTTTGGCTGAACTACCCCTTTAAGAATAAACCGATATGAAGCAGCATTAAACAGTGGATTAGTCATAACCGGTGGTTTCATTTGCTTCTAGATAACTGTGAGCTGAGGAGCCCTCACCACACACACGGTTCCAGTAATGTCTGCGCACAATGTTCCACTCAACTCAAGATTTTGGGTTTCTTACTTTAGCTTGACTCGCTTTGCAGAGCAGCTCACAGCTGAGAGGAGGCAAAAGCCAAATTCATTCACCGTCTTACAATAAACCAATTTCCTGCACTTCACAGTGAAGTCTGAATAACAGGAAAGAACACTGTACAGTGTGATTATAAATAGAGGTACTGAAGGTTAGAACACACACACAGACACACACACATACACACACATGACTGGCTGACAGAAAACATGAGTGCAAGGAGGTCTGAGCATTTTAACTACACTTAAACCATAAGCCAGTACAACCCAAATGAGTCAGGAGCCTAGCAAACAAGACCCTGAAAAAGTATGTGAAGCATAAGATTTTAAACGCAACTTTCATATTTAATTTTAAAATTTTCATATTTAAAATCATCATCACTGACTGATTCAAGACTCAATAAAAAGGATTTTATATATTAGGGCTGTCAAACGATTAATCGCATCCAAAATAAAAGTTTGTGTTTACATAATATATGTGGGTGCACTGTGTATAATTAAGTGTGTAAATACACACCCATGCATGTATATTTAAAAAATAAATATTATTTATATATAAAATATTAATATTTATATATAATATAAATTATATATAAATCTATATACAGTGTATACATGAAAATATTACTTAAATATATACAAGCATGTGTGTGTATTTATATATATAAATTAATCATACACAGTGCACCCACATATATTATGTAAACACAAACTTATTTTGGATGCGATTAATCGTGATTAGTCGTTTGACAGCCCATATATATATATATGTGTGTGTGTGTGTGTGTGTGTGCACAGTAGTCAACATTTGAAGTGGATCAAAAGAGTTCAAAGTTGTCCTTTGACAAGAACGGGTATTGTTCAAAATTCATGTATAACTTTGATGAAAGGTTTTGATCCGCTGCTAATGTTGACTACTGTAGTATATGTGTGTGTATGTTAGGGTTGCCGCGGTGAGGAAAATTTCCCACCGGTTAATCGACGTGTGACAACACCGGTAATCCCGGTGTCACCGTGGAGGGCAGGGCGGGGGGGTTAAATAGCTTTTAAATGCGTGCGCGTTATACTTTCACTTTCGAAATAAGCGTCAATTGCTTGAATGGACAAAAAAAACAACTCGCTGATAATAAAACTTTTATTTATAGACTTTTATTAGCATAACGAACGAATAAAAATAACCCCATGCTGAAAAAAGTGAAAATCGGCAAAATGTGGGCCCAAACAAATAAGAACCATAAAACGTTTATTAACGAATAAGAAAATAAAATAGGCCTAAATAAATTACACAAAGTTTAAATGAGATAAAACCAATTAAAAAGAGACGAATATAAAATAAAAACTTCAAAACGGACCTTAGCCTACATAAATGACATACTTTCACTTTCGAAATAAGCGTCAATTGCAATTCAGCGTCAATTGCTGGAATGGACAAAAAAAAAAAAAAAAACTCGCTGACAATAAACTTTTATTTAGACAGCACTTTTATTAGAATAATAAACGAATAAAATATAGACAGAACTTTTATTAGCATAACGAACGAATAAAAATAACCCCATGCATAGGCTGAAAAAAGTGAAAATCGGCAAACTGTGGGCCCCCAAAAAAATAAAATAAAACGTTTATTAACGAATAAGAAAACAAAATAGGCCTAAATAAATTAAACAAAGTTTAAATAAGATAAAACCAAATAAAAAGAGACGAATATAAAATAAAAACTTTAAAAAGGACCTTAGCCTACATAAATGACAGCACTCTAAAAAAAAGTAAAACACTATAAATTGGCATTTATTAACATTAATATATATTGGCCAAAATATTGCCAAACAGGCGCTTTTGCATTGCGTTTTGACACCAAATCTTCCGCCATTATCTTGCTTTTCTGTAATTTGACTCGTTCTCGTCTCCACACGTGCTAAATGGAATCCTGATGCTTGCTGATCTGTGACGTGACGGCACGCGTTGCGCAGTTCATTTTTAATTATAATGCTCTCTTCAGAACTAAATAATTGAAAATTATTATTTTTAATTAATTCAAATAAATATTTTAGCAAAAACGAATACTTAAAAAAAAAATTCAAGACATCGCGGTGTCACGGTGGGAAAGTGATGTCACCGGTGATGGGGCTTAAAACCGGTAACACCGTCAACACCGTCTATCGCGGCAAGCCTAGTGTATGTATGTGTGCATCACACACAATACTAATAAATATTCTAATATTATCATTCTTTTCTATAAACAACAACAAATACACATTTGAATATAAAAAAAAACTTAAAATGTAACTCCATGGCAGCTATACATTCATAAACACTTGCTGGGAAAACAAAAGTGATGCTCGCCTCAGCAAGAACCTCTAAAAAAGGCATGTAGTCAAAACACAAAATCTGTGTCAACTTGCAAATAACTGATTTCCATATCTATCTGGTGTCTGAAAGCAGACAGAGAAGAAGTGTTCTGAATCAAACTCTTTAGTGATGAAATACTCAATGGTGCTTGTGCAATACTCTGACCTCAACAACTACAACAAGCAAGAGGCTCTCGGTAAGAACGACAAGAACGGAGATTGAGACAAGAAAAGAAAGGAGGCCTTGTAATCCATGTTACTACTTAGAAACAGCACCAACGAGATTAGCCGATTTACCAATGGTGAAGGTGGGGGTCGCTGTCATGGAAACGGTAATCTTATCAAGTGCAAACTCATTTGACTTTTCATTGTTCCATTAAATCACCATTTCACTTAATTATTTCTCACTTTAGATAAACAGAGCATTCAATTAAATCATAAACAAATACACCATCCTCCCCAATCCAATGTGCAGTTAGAACTGTTCTTGTTCAGTATTTTTTAAGATAATGATTGTGCGCTGCAAAAAAATTGCAAATCTGTTGTTCATATATTGAGAAATGTTTCAATTCTTCAAATGAAATAATTCAGCAGCCAATGAATCAGCCTGTTCTTTCTGTCTCGTGTGGGTTAATTCACAATCATAGCTGCTTCTGCTTTATAAAGAAAGGACACTGGATCCTTGACACACTTCATATTGTGTGCGAGTGTGTGTGTGTGTTGATTATATTCAGGGAATGGGCACGTGGGGTAATAGTGAAACCGTCATGCCCAAAACAGCACCTCATGGTCAAAACTGGAGCGTAGTCATTGACATGGAGGAGTCACATGACCCGCAACAGAATAAATATAGCTGTTCATAAATCATATATACTGCTCCTACAGAAGCAATCAACCACCACAGACCAGAGTTAAATCTATCCCCTGGATTAGGATTAAAAACTCGAGTAACACGAGTAGAACCATAAAGGCAAGGATGCTGAAAATGCAGAAATCAATAATAAATGAAATATACAGTATAATGTCACGGGATTAGGCAAATGTTGAATGAATAAATAAAAAGCAGGGCTGTACAATTAATCAAATTACATTACTGTAAATATTAAAGCGCAAAATGTTTACTAATGTTGACCTTTATCTCCAGAGTCACTTCACCAACATTTCACTTGTAAAACTATTGTCATATCATAGAGAAATAGAAACTCAAAGGTCTTTATGACAACCCATCAATATAAAAGTTTGGTTTAACTTGAAGAAATTGTGACAAAAAATTTAGTACTATTGTACAGTAGAATGTACTAATGTAAAAAAAATAAAACATGTTTTAATAAACAGTAAAACTTTTTTGTGCGAAACTT